CATCAGCCCAGCTGCTCCACTTGCTGTCCACTTGACTGCATTCTAAACGGCTGGATCAAATGTCAAACCTCCAGATACATAGGTCTCATTACAGCACATGCCGCCGCTGCACCACAAAGCTGGCAGGCGAGGGGCAGCGCACCTGGCGTATGTCAGCCGGGCTCTCACGCAACTGCCTCACCACTGCTGGCACCCTCACCGTCCTCGCTCGCGCCGCCGCCGCCCTCCTCCTTGCTTGAGCCACCGCCGCCCGCCTCCCCGCCCCCCTCCCCGTCCAGGTGTCGCCGCAGGAACGATGCCGCCAGGTCCAGCATGGCGCTGGCCTGCGCGACCGCCTTGACGTCCTTCCTGCCCTCCTTGGTGGTGGAGGCGGGGTCGTAGGCCGTGAACACGGGGGCCCAGCTGAAGAGGCCCGGGAGGCAGTGGCCGAAGCGCTTGAAGGTGCAGCGCTGGTAAACCTCCTTCCTGGACGACAGGTACACCTGCACGGCGGGGGGAAAGGGGATTGTGAGTGGGTGGGGTACGAGGGGGCCACGAGGCGGGGCGGGGCGGCAGGGGTAGGGAAGGGCCGGTGCAGTGGGGACGACAGGGGGCGCGGACGACGCTTGGCGCATCCCACACGAAGGGCCTCAGCAGCGTCGAAGGAGATCTCCTGCGGGCGCACCCTGGCACGGGCGACAGGTGCAAAGGCCCGCGCTGCTGGCACAGGAACGCATCACCGCCCAGGTTCTGCCGGGCCGAAGAGCCGCCAAGCTGTGACTGGCTGCTGCTGCTGATGTCATCCCCAGCCCCGACTCCAGCTGTGGCCTGCTTTTACTATTGGTGACCCTCTCCCCGTCCCGTTGCAACCTCGGCCTGCCAGACTCTCCCAGAAGCCCCTCCCTGTACGCATGCACGCGTGCGCGCATACACATATGCACACACGCGCGCGCACACACACACACACACATTGACACACACACACACACACTTGCACGAACACACACGAACACACACGCACACACAAGCACACACGCGCACACACGCGCACACACACACACACACACGCACGCACGCGCGCGCGCACACACACACCCCACCCACCTGGAGCTTGTCCATGTTGTCATACTTGGACGGCAGTATCACCAGGGGAACAGCCAGCACCTCCGCCAGCTTCTCGTCCTGGTCATGAAGCTGCGGGGCAACCGCCGCCACCGCCGCCGGCGCGGGCACGCCCTCCGGCAGCCCGCCGTCGGTGCCGGCCCACACCGCGAGCAGCGCGCCCCAGCCCACCCCCGCGACCGCAAACCGCGGCGCCCCCGCCCCCGCGCCCTCGCCGCCGCCGCCGGGCCGCTCTTGCTGCGATTCCTCGAGCGCCGCAGCCACCACCGCCCCGACGGTCTCCTTGTGGGCCGCCCAGTTGCCGGGCCCGATGCGCAGCCAGTCTGCGAAGCGGTTCTTCCAGACGCTCTCTGGCGGGTAGCGCTCGCGCTGCCAGGCGTCCTCTTGGGTCAGCAGCTGCGGCATGATCACCCACAGGCCGCCAGCGGAAGCCAGGCGGTCGGCGGCCTGGCAGGCGGGCGGGCGCAGGCCGTGAGAGCGTGTGGAGGGGGGGGTGTGTTGACTGGTTGGAAGGAAGGCAGGCGAGCGCTTGAAGGCCTTTTTTCACGGGCTCGTCCACGTTGGCAGGCGCTGGGCTGCATCCGCCGGGCACACGTGCGTGCGTGCGACGCCGCGCCGCGCAGCCGCACCTGCATCAGCGCGGGCGTGTCCTTCTCCACCACAAACAGGTCCTGCAGCAGCACCACGGGCGGCCCCGCCGCCGCCGAGCCGGCCTCGTAGCAGCGGCGGCCGCCGAGCTCCCGCCAGGCGCCCTGCGGGCTGCCGTGAGGCTGCAGCAGCGCAGAGGGCTCGATCTTTTCCGGCGGCTTGACAGGTGGCGGCACAAAGTCTGGGCCCCTGGAGACAGGGGGGGATTTTTGGGGAGGGAGGCCGCCGATGGGTTGGGGGTGGGATACCTGCTGCCCGCACGCGTTAGAAATGGGGGGGGCACGACTGGGGCGGCCAGCCACGCGTGCACTCCCTCGGCGGCAGCGCGTTCGGACTGCGCCCGCGGTAGCTGGCAGCCGCCTGCCTGGCGCCCGTTCTCGCCCTCCCTTCACGCACTTCTCTCCCACCCATGCGCAATCCGCTCCCGACGTCCAGCTCTGAGATCAACATCCAAACCCCCAGAACATCCTCCAGAACACACACACACACACATACACACACACACAACCCACACACACGCACGCAACACCACACACACTCCCCCTCAATGTCCCGCCCAAACACCCGCTCTCACCTGTACAGCCATATGCTGGTCCCCTGCACGTCAATCAGGACCCCCCCACTCAGCTCCTCCAGCTCCCGCAGCACCAGGTTCAGCCGCGGCAGCACGCTCTTGCGCGCGCTCTTGTCGTCGTGCACCCGCAGCTTCACCACCTCGCGGCCCCGCCAAGCCGTCTGTATTGCCTCGGCCAGCTCCTTTGTGGCGCCGCGCCGGCCGACCTTCGCGATCCAGTCGTCCCGCAGGCTTTCCGCCTTGAGGCGCTCCCACTCGCCCGGCGCCAGCGCCTCCGCGCGCGCGAAGCTGCGCTTGACGCCGGCCGCCATCGCGGCGCGCTCCTCCTGGGTCGGCTGGATGCCGCCCGTGAGCCGCGGGTCGCGCGCCGCGAGCTGCTCCCGGCGCGACGCCTTGTGCGCGGCCGCACGCGACACGCCCGCCTGGTGCGCCTCGCGCTGCTCGGGCGTGCGCGCGCCGCCGCCGCCGCCGTCAAGCC